AAGAAAAGTCGCATATTTATCAGAGTTTTTGATCTACTTAATTCCTTTTGCTAAAAATAAAAAAACACAGAAAATAACACAAATTGATGACAGCTCGCCCTAAAGTTGGCAGGCATGGGTCCTTTAAGTAATTAATTACTGAGCAAGGAAGAGACATGCATATGAGCTTGAATTTGTGGACAGCTTTTACAAATCAAATGATGATGGTACGTAGTAAATAGTAAAAGTAAACAAGATCCAGGATTGAATAGCGAAAACAACTTACCGATACCAGGGTCGGTTTCAATGATGATCTTCTTGGTTTCCTTCGCCGCCCCATCTGCCACGCTGGAACTCAGAATCAATCCAGCAGTCAAAGAAAACCACTTTCTGGATTGGATTGGGTTGGAGTGATTGTACCAGGAAAAATTAAAAGATTGGAAATTGGGACGGTTCAATTGGAATTCGACGTTTTCTTTCCATGTTTGTGCTCTGCACTGGCCTGAAAGCCTGATCTGTCTGTTCTTTTTTATACGTCATATGAATGATAAAGCTGATCGCTGTCGGTGGGTCATACGCTAGGAAGCACCACTCGGCCCCACCCGCCGAGTGATGGCATTTCAGAAAATATGTCAGAAACTAATGGGCATGTTGGTCAAACGAAGATGACCTTTTCGTACCTATACGGCTATACCCTTCCCACCCCACCCCACCCACGCCTCGGGGTTAGATTTTCAAATCATTTGGTTTGGTTTCAGATCTGCTGAGTGACGGCCTCCGCACCACAGGCTATGAACCGATCGTTGTCGTCAAAGCTCGCCAAGAAAGCCTCTCCGGCACCGCCACTGGCGACGGCGAACAAGAAGAAGAAGAAGAAGAAACTAAAGGACCAGAGCCCTCGAAATCCACTACGGGATCTCAATGCCATCACCGTTCGCAGTAGCAACAATGGCAGCGATGCTTCGTCTTCCATCTCCGTCGAAGCCCCGCGAGGTTGCCTCAGGTTCTTTCTCTCTCATTCTTCTTCCTCTAATTCCAAAACCCCTCTTTACACACCTAAAAATCTATCCAAAGCCCCTAAATCAGCTCCTGCTGTGAGGCCTTCAAGACCATCAAAATCCAAGGACAACCGGTCCAAATTCAATGCTTTGGAAAACCCAGAGAAACCCACCTCAGGAAATGCAAGTAAATCTAAGAATAATTCTTCTTGCTTGTACCAGTGGCAGTCTGGAAACAAACCCACTTCTAGAAACGGACCAAAGCTGAAAACTTGTTCACTTGTAAAATCAAATGGAAGTTCCCTGAGTAAGTTAGAGTCTGGGTCTGAGGTAGAAGGTAGTATTGTCAGGGTGGTGGGCAATGCAGGTCAGCCCACTGAGCTCAAATCACGTGGTATTGATGGAGATTTTACACCTTTGAGTAAGATACCGACTGGGTTGGGTTTGGACCCCAAGGCTGATAACTCTGAGGATTTGCTGGAGAATTCTGACAAATCTAATAGTAAAACTCCACCAGTTCAGGCCTCCGTATCTCCAGAGATACAATGTGGATCATCTGCGGTGTCAAGGAGCACACTTGCTTGTTATGCTGCTGGCCATGTTCTTTCAGGGATCACTGACAAGAGGAAGTGCAAAGCTAGAGGAATTCTCAGTGTAGGAGAAAATGATTCAGGCTTCAGTAAAGGGATGGCTTTAGGTAGCTTTGAGGATGACGATGATGAAGACAGTGGTCAATGTGAAGGCCATGTTGGCAATCTCGATGCTTCTGCGGTTCCTTTACCTACTGAAGCTTCAATGCGTTGGCTTTTATCGCCGTGTGATGAAGGGGATGAGGATCACAAGGAGCATTCCGATAGTAGCTTACTTAATTCTGTAGAGTCCGTTAATCTTTGTTCTCCATTTTCAACCTTAGGTCGTCATGGATTTTCTCCAAGCTTTCAACAAGTGTTGGAGCCCTTAAATGAGCATGTTGGTGTTTTGTCTTCTCTGCATCGCATGCCTGGTTGTGAGGCTGTAAACTTCTTGGAAGAGGAAAGAAAACACCATTATGGTTATGACGGTGATAATTCTCCATTCTCTATGGTTTCACTGGACAGTGGCAATGTTATCTGTACTCCTCAATCAGAGTCGAGTGTAGAAAATCATAGGAAGCACTACTTTGATCCTGAACTGAGTTCAGTGGCTGAAGCTATTCAGATGGTAAACTTGTCCCCAAACACGAACAGTCATGTATTAATTGAGGATCAGATTGATTCGAGTTTCCAGTTTGACTGTCTAACCACAGCCTGTGATTCAATCAGTCGATTCCATAAAGTTTTGGATGATCGCAGTTCCTGGCTCTCCAACTCTACAATAGAGAATTTATCACAATCAGAGATGAGGATATCGTGGAGAGAAGGGTTAATGAGTCGTATATATGATATGGATGAAGATGATTGCTGCAGATGTTTATCTGATGAAGAGGAAGATATCAATGGGTGCGGCAAAGATCCATTAAACGAAGAAGCCAGTCAGAGTCCTGAAATCAATGTCCATGTAGGAGAAGATGAGAATGTAACTTATAAGTTTCGGATGGCAGAAGTTTTGGATGATGGAGGAGTTGGTGGGAAAGATGAAGGAGGTGGCATTCGTCCTAACTTATCATCTACAGTGTGTGCTACTGCCGAGTCCATAAGCACTGATGGAGGTGGGGGGCTGCTTGATTCAGGGGATTCAGATTGGAGTCAGTGCTACAAGAATGAGTTGTTCCATGTATAACACAGATTATTACCCTTGATGTCTTCTCTTGTATGTTTCTAGTTGTAGTAGAGCAGGTGCAACAATCCTCAACCGGTCCGAAGTGGTGGTTTTGTTTCCTTTTTTACCTGCAGGTGGAATGGAGAAACAGTTACTGCTTAAAGGATCAACAAGAGTGCATGCACTGTTGTATCCTTAGTTGTTATAGTTTGAGTTATGTATGATGTCCGATTCAATTTAGTTGAGAAGTTTCAGATTCGGGGAAACAAGAATGCATCCATTTGTGAGTTTTTTGTTCTTTCTAAAGTTACGAGGAAAGGAAACTTAAGAATGGTAAAAGTTGAAAAGGAGTGATAAAACTTAAAAGCAATAGAAGGGTGGCTACTGTTCATCTGTTACCGTACTGACTGACTGGTCTTGGAGTCGTGAGCAGCGGAGACAAGTTGTTTGATGGTAAGGATAGAGTGGAGGTGTATGTATTATACTTGTAGACTGAGTAGAGATGACATGACAAGCCCTTCGGTGATATCGTTCATTTCATCGCCAAACCAACAAATTACAAGGAAGGCGGAAGGCAATCGGCCGTATCCCAAATGGGGCAAAATGCCAAATGGGTGGGTGAGTGGGTGGGTGCCAGAAAAACGAAAGCCCATATATGCTTTGGGCCAAGTAAGCAGAATTAAACTGGATATGCTGCTTGTCCTGCTTCTTAACTATTTCCAATTGTTCAATTGTTCATTTAAATCGATGCATCTATATGATAAAAAATAAAACAAAAAAAAAATTAAAAAAAAAGTTCTATGCATCTGTCTATACGTATAATATTGAAAAGAGATGAGGATGATGATGAATGAATAAAGTGTTTTGTGCTTGTAAATATTTATTTAATAATCTCATTTCAAAGTTGGTTTTGCGTGTTGTATAAACAAAAAGAGATGAGGACGATGATGAATGAATGAAAGATGCGTTTTGTGTACGTGTTTGTATTTGTTTACTAAAAAAATTGAAGGAGATGACAAGGAAAGGATTAGTCTAGTGATGATGAATTGATGTACTTCGACGACGACTATGTTATGAGTCATTCATTTGTATTCTATTGGTTGGGATGAAAGGCCTTGACCCTTGGATGGGATTGAGTGGAGAAATTTTCAGTTGTGATGGGAACACAAGTGGTACATCACGTGTTTTAATAGGAGTAGTGAGAAATTTTATTTTTTAAGTTAATAACATTTTAACACACATATCCCACCATTGTATAGTGACACGTGGTGTACCAACTCATGTACCGATCACACTGAAAATCTCTCGATTGAGTGGGATGAAAGATCTTGCCCCTTTGATTGGATTGGATGGAATTTCCTTCCATTCTATAAATTTAAAGTCAAATACAAAACTGGCGTGTTAGACAAAATACCATCCACCAAGACTTATCTTTGTAATTCAGTTTAATTTCAATATATAGATCTTCTTTCAAAAAATTCTATCCCCTCCTCCCTTTTCTTCTTATTTATTACAAGACCAAATAATATAACATTATTATTATTATTATTATTATCATGCGGCTTATTTGTCAAAAACCACTACCAATTCAATTTCAAAACCAAATCGAATCTTAGGTCTCTATGGTATTCCTCTTTACTTGGAAATGAGAAATCTTAGATTCGAATCTCATAAATGGCGAATTCGATACTCAATTAGATTGTTTATTATGTGACCTAGCCGAACTTCCCCTTCTCTTAGTGTAAAAATATCAATGTACTCAAAAAAAAAAAAAAAAAAAAACCAAATCGAATCTTACAGATGCAGATGCAGGCACCAATGAATCACCAAACAAACCAAACAACTATAAAGCATGACCTTCTATCGTATGCAGTCTTGCTCTTACTTTGCAAAAACATTATTTTCACGACTTGAACTCATGACCTTTTAAGTCACAAAGAAGCAACTATTTAAGACTGACTTGCGACAGGCGACTTTCATTTCTTTATAATATGCATGCGTCATCCAAGAACCTTCCTACTGTGTTCAAATAATGCGTGTGTGTGTGTGTGTGTATTTATATATATTGCAAAGAGTATTCTTGCTACTTGGCTATCTTGCTTGTTCATCCATAATCTTTCACAAATTCAGAAGAAAAAAATGTCTAATTAGTTAGCAACCTTCTCTCTCCTCATCTCACACAGATACAGAACAGATCATGAGCCGACATCAGCCTAGAGAATAGAGTATAGAGATCGATCGATAAGCTTCATTAGACTAGACCAGATCCAATCCGTAATTATAATTATGGAGGGTCTGATCCCAATGGTTTACAAGGCAATGAAGAGGAACAGAACTCGCCGCCAATACAGCTGCCTCTCCTCCTCCTCCTCATTAGCAGCAGCACCACCACCAGTATCAGGTCAAACTAGTAATTACAACATCGCTGACTTCTACATCGATCACAACAGTTACGTCTATGTTCCCCAACCTGCACCTTCAGCTGATCATCATCTTCCAACGATATTTAATGTTAATGGCGCGTCTTCCCCGCGGGACCAGTCGTCCTTATCCACAACTACAAACATTATTAATCATGGCGGTCGTCAGTTTCAGCACCGCCGTCACAAATCTGTTTCTCTCGGTTCTGCTTCCAACTCTATGCAAGGATTCTCTTCATCGGTGGACGCTGATGACTCCATTAATTCTCCTCCTCCAAAGCAACTTGTCCAGTTTCGGAGCCACCGAAGTTTCTTCTCATGCATCTCTGGTGCCTAGCAGACTAGCAGTAGGCTAGTAGCTAGCTAGCTAATTATCAATGGCCACATGATCAGTACAACTCAAGGTGCTGTTTATTTCAATTCAATTACAGGTTATTTACCACCTCTGCTGTCTGCTCTCTCTCTTCTCAGCTTTCGTCTCATATTTTTAATTTCTTTTGAAAATTTATAAAGAAATATTGTGATGCCCTCCTCCAATTAGATTAGGATTTATGCATCTTTTTTCACCATAAAATCAGTTGGAAATATGGTGGAAGTAGCCTAATTACTTACAAGCACATGCAAAATCATCTTTTTTCCCGATGTGAGATTCATACTGTCCATGATAAGACACATATAGAAGAAATAAAAGGAACATGAACTTCCGATTTGTATACACATTATTAGCATTACCATGCAAAGCTTAGACAAACACCGATCGAGACTCGGCTGTAACTGTACGGCCAGTAAATGGTGAGATGGTGAGACAGAAGGAACAGAAGTAAGGAGATGGATGTAAATTGCTTGCATTATGAATGTGTTTGTTGATGGTTATCTAACCAGAAGGTCCGTCGGTCAAATATACAATACCGCATGTATATATACAACAAATACAAATACAAATTATATATTCAAGCGAGCAGATGGATGGAATCATGGAATAACTAGGTGACCAGCAACAAACATATCCACCGCTGCAAATTACCACCACCAATTATACTCAATAGGCCGGTCGGTCGCACACAAGCTTGTCAAAATGATGCATCCATAGTCCATATATACAAGCAGCAAAACAACTCGTAGAGATAAGGAGAAGGATAGATAGTCGATAGCCTTGGGCTTCAGATTCAGCCTGCACTGGGTTTAAAAACTTGGACCATCTCATCTCATCTGATGTTAGGTATTCTGACAGTGAATAGTGTATAAAAGGAATATGCCAAGCACCATTCCTTGGCTAAAACAGCATATACTTGAGAATCAAACTAGACTCCGTCTGTCAGTTTTACCGGTTGGTTGGAGGTTGGAAGTTGGAACATGGAATGGAAGTTGGTAACTTCTAGAAATCAGATCTACTCGTGTTTGCATCATGCTTATGTCCAAAACGACCTTGTTTCGAGTCAGTCAGGTGAGGGCGCTGGTGATTTTGGTTTACTACTTAGAATTTATGTTCGAATTTATCAAGTGTAGCTGTGTAGGTCATTCTGTAGTCTAGGATGAGTTTCTCTTCCTCTTGAATTTAAGTTTATGAAGCCTAACAAGCCAATCGCTACAGACATAATGAAGCACCCTATGTCCTGTATTGTAACCCAAAGGAAAGGGAAAAGAAAAAAAGAAAATGGTACTGCATTTATCCAATTTTTTGTTATGGCCAATTATCTCCAACGACATTTATTGTAGAATTTGGACAGCCTAAATGAAACATTGGTGTTATCGGAAAACAAAAATGTCAAACAATGTTAACAGCTTATGCTCTCTCCATAAATAATTGATCAGGAGTCCTCAACAGCCTGCAATTGCCATCATTAGCCGCCCTAGTATATACCTAGTACAGTCATAAGATCAGAATTTATCTTTTTTTCTTTTGGGAGAAAATGAAAGTGCATACAAAACTTCTTCATGTCCAGTTTCCACAACTCCACTAAGAAAGAAGGCCAGCCTATTACCAGCTAAGTCTTATATTCTTCTACTTAAAAGCCAATAGAGAATCCGCAAGTTAAATTCCATCAGTCTAATTAGAAACAAACAAATGAATCTGATAACATCAAGAACAAGAAAAATGTTTTGTTATATATAACAATGTAATTGTCTTGTTAGGATTACCAACAATATATCTATATATATGTATATAGAGAGAGAGAGAGAGAGAGAGAGAGAAAGAGAGAGAGAGAGAGAGCGGCAAGGTAGAGAAGCTATGGCTACAAGCATGGATAGGAATTGGCATTGCCTTTCTCTGTACCTACTTGTCCTGGTAATGACTAGTGCATATGCATCAAATGATGACCAAGAATTGAAGAGTAAGCGACTTTGCAGCCAGTGCTCGAAATGTGAGTCAAGTAAATGCCCTCCAAGCGAAGCCTACCCCCATATGACTGCATTTGATGACACTCTTATTGCTGGTGCTTTACAGTCTGACTTTGTGGATTTGAATGACAGAGGAGTTTACTCAGTGCCAGATATCAAAGGTGGCCAATCGCCAAATCTAAATGCTTATTATGGCTGGAAATCTACTTCTGGTTCTGCTTCCGGTTTTCACAGGTGATCCTATTTTTATGCTTAATTTGTTCTGTGAAATTAAGGCCAAACATATAAATAAATATAAAAAACAAATACTATATAAAGAAACGATTGCCTAATGCCACAAGGCCTTTAACCTGTTAGCATTTTCCTCTGTTTGATCTCTGGTTGTAATATACCAAACGATTTTTCTGTAAAGATAAATAGATGACAGACACTTCATTATGAGTGAAAAGTCCAATAATATCCTCGCCCTGCATATGCTCTTTTTCGTTGTGTGCTTCCCAGGTTTAGCAACTATATGGACAAATGTTCAGGTGGACAAACTTACCTCACGGTGGACAAGCACGGCAGTGTTAGCCTTCGTTTATTGAGCTCCCTGGAAAGCTTAGCAGAGGCTGACTGGAAATCAATTAATCCACCCAAGAAACTAAACCATCGCCAATTCCGCTTCTGGGTCTCTCGGAGTGCAAGAAAATGCCTCACTGTATTTGGAGGAAAAACAAAGAAACGAAGAGTGGGTGTGTCCGAATGCAAATTTAATGGCGCAAACCCGTACCAACTGTTTGCCTTCCGCTTTCATTACCACAAAGCCTTCTGTTGTTGCGGTGTTCACAACGAGTGATGAGTTTTGTTTTAAAAAAGCTTGAAGTCAAAGTTGGCACAATTCAAAATAAGAAGATACACATAAGTGTGCGTGTGTCCATGTGATTGCTACTCATAGCAAAATATATAACATTTCCATTACAAGGCATTTGTGGTGTATGACTAAATATGGAGTTTTAATATGTGAGACATATTGATAAACAATGCTTAAATTTTTTTTCCGGCAATCAATCGTAGAGTTCCAAACTTTATGGCTTTTAGCCCCAATATTTGTTATGAGAAATGTCGAATTATCAGAGAGACTAGCCAAAGACCCACTTCCAACAATATCGATATTGTTTATAACTTGATATTTACCACCTGCAAGTGTAGAGTTTTAATACAAAAGACCTTGGTGTTAGTTGAGATGAGATAATCATATTTAAACTCTTATTTCTAGTTGAGGTGAGGTAATCATATTTAAACTCTTGTTCTTTCTTTCTTGTTCTGATGGTACTAGGCATAGTGTTTAGGTTGATGCAAAAGATAAGGGTTGAACCTTTAAACACACAGAACTGGATAAAATTGCAGAGAATTAGAATGCAGAGAGAGAGAGAGAAAAGTATATTTCTTGATTGAAATCGAAGAAGCTACTACATAGTTATAAAAAAATAAAATAAAAAAATAAAAAAAAACCTACAAATTAGGAAACAAAGATGCATCTCCAACCATTCAGGCCATCGGAAGCTACGATCCTTCCACTTGGGAATGGATCCAGGGACATAGTATGATTCCAAAGGATAGGAATACCAACTGTGATACTTGCTAAAAACAGAAAGTAAACTAGCCGTTACAATTTAAAGACTAACGGCTACTACTAAAAATAGCAAGTTCTTCATTTCTTCGATTTCATCTTCCTCTTCAATTTCAGCAGCAGGATTATCATCTGCAGGTTGGATTTAAGCTAGTATGCAGCTTAATTCTCAACATTTCTTTCCCTCACCAATGTGGGATACTCAACAAGGAAGACTTTACCAACAACCACAGAATATACAGTTCAGCATCAACCCCACACAATACAAAACATTCATTGTAATATCATGGTTGGGCATTGACGGGACATATGGAATTGCTTCCTGCCTATCTCCAATGCCATTCAAACAAGGTGGTCTGGCTGCTCCATAGTAAAAGAAAGCCATCACCTTTGACTACTCATCTCCACTTCAAATTTCTGAACAAACGACATAAAAAAGGAGCTGAAATCATGTTGCAATTCGGAGGCAAGAATCAAACGCCCATGTTCTAAAATAAAAATTAGCTTTCTCGCAATATAAGTTTAAACACGAGAATTTTCTGCGGCAAATAACACAAGAACACATGAACAAAATAAATGATTTTTATTAATGTAAGGTTTAGGGGTATAATCTCTGTTTGCAGTTTGAATCCTCTTACTCGTTCTCTGGGATGAAAAAGACTTCATTTTGAGCTTGGTTCGTGATTTGACTTCATCAAATAATCAATCACATTTTAAACTTAAATCAATTAATTTGTTTGATTCAGGTTAAAATTAATCATGTTAATAAAGATTCCTTAATTAATTTTTACCAAATGTCGACACGTGTCACTCTTGGTGACTTGTTTAATTTTGATGAGTTAGTGCCATGCATATAATATGTGAGACCGACAATGCCAGCCACCTATGCTTTGACATGTCCAAATTTAATGGGTTGGTGAACATTTACTTCTCCAAAATTTTGGTGCCTACAATAAGATCTTGCCAGCTCTAGTGAAGTTGATCTCAAGAAGACAGACACTTGGAGATTAGTACTAAATCATAGTCAGTAAGAGCATTAACTGCAATACACTGTTAAATATGAAAAGTAAATATTAGCCAGAATGATCAATAAAGGGGTGTGTGAGAGGGATGAGGATCTTAGGGATCTTCACATCATAATCGTTCATCGCACATTGTGCGGTCATTTTTCATTAGGTACTATTTGTGTTTAATTTTAAATAAATAAATTCAAAATGATTTCTGATCGCACGATGTACGATAAATGGCTATGATGTAAGGATCCCTAGAATCCTCCCAACTTGAATCCAAATGGGATCCAAATCCATGTGAGAGGGTAATAAGCACAAGTAGACTGTTACAGTAGGGGTGTACCCTTACTCTTGGTGAAGGTAGCGTGCAGTTCCATATGATGTGTATAGCCTTATCCAGTTCAATTCGAATTTTTTTTCATTTTCTTTTGGTCTGAAGAGAGGAAGAAATGTTAATATAAAAGTATGATCTAACAATTTTCTCATAAAGAAGTATAATTGAAGCAAGGTGCCGAAATCATAAATTTGATAAGAGATAAGGTAACAAAGCATATACAGTAAGAAGGAAATCAAGAGAAAAATGGAAAATCAGACCTTGTGAGCGACTGCGTACAAGAATGATTAAAGGGCTGATGTCTTTGAGAACAGTCTCTTCCCATTCTGCACTTGATACATCTTTAATGGGACGAATGTAATTATCATCTTCATTCTTGCCACACTACTTCATTGTCGCTGTCGTCATTATCACTATCATCCTTCTTTGGCATAGTCTTGATGGTAATCTTATCAAAGAATTCATCCAGCTTACATCCTCAGGCCATTCGGGATCCTCCTCCTCCTCTACAACAAGCGGACAATAGGCCAGAAGTTGTTGCACCTTGTTTGTCCTTTCAATAGGGTCTAACTCCTCCTCAACATCGGGGTTAGTACATAAAACTTGTCTAATTGTGTTTCTCCATTCACGTCTCTCTTGAGAACCCATGAAGTAGGGATCATCTTTGTTAACAGAAGATGGTTCATCAGCATCATCATCATCATCGTCGTCGTAATCATCAAGTCTCCTTTTTGTTGATTATGTTGAAATGTCTCACATCGACCGTATCAATGACAAAAAAATAATTTAAATACCCTAATCCCACTCCATCTAATATCGAGACCTTTTGTGATAAAACCCCACACCTGACAGATTGTGCAGGTGGTAATTACCAAGTTGTGGACAGTATCGGTGTTGTTGGAAGTGGGTCGTATGGCTCGTCTCTCTGATAATTCTACATGGTATCAGAGCAAGGGAGCAAGCCCGTCCCACGTCGACCGTATCAATGATAAAAGAATAGTTTAAATACATTAATCCCACTCCTACTAATACTGAGGCATTTTGTGATAAAACTCCACACCTGACAGATTGTGCAGATGGTAATTACCCAGTTGGGAACAATATCGGTGTTGTTGGAAGTGCGTCGTATGGTCCGTCTCTTTGATAATTCTACAGGTTATAGGGTTTAGAAGCATAGAATCTAGTTTAAGTTGGAGTTCGGGACGTGTTGGGACAGTCGCAGCAGCAGTGTTGATCCATATTCTGTTGTGAATAGGTTGGGTTTGTTGGGAATGTGTTAGGTGTTGATCCATATTCTGCAGCCATAATTTCATCATTCACTTTGCCAGACAGATCACCCCCCACCCTCAGAATGATGCATTCATTCTTCATGAAAAATACAAACTTTACAGCCTATCCTATAACTGCCCAAACAAAAGCAAAGCAAAAAATGAAATTCTTTTACAAAAATATCACGATCCATATGGGACAATACAATGCAGGCAGCAAGTTTTATTTAAGGCGAAATAGGCAAATCCAACATCTCGGAATCATGATGAGAGGCAAGTGGAGATGGAAGGAGCCAAGCAAAGAATCCAGCATCCATCTCTCCCTTCAATCTCTGCAGCATTGAGTACTCCACCACCAAATTCCACAGATCTACTGTCCATTCATGTGACCCTATCCATTGACTTACCTACTCCACAAAGTGCAAAAAGTAAAATATAAACATGCTATACACACAGAGGCATAAAACTTTGGCATTAAAAGAAATACCTGGTCTATGTTTCGCAATGCCTTTATGCCAAACGTGTAGTACAAAATGAATGGTCTTTTCGCCTGAAACAACTTGGGGAATTGTCTGAGTAAGCTAAAGATTTCACACATGATATATTCCATTCAGGCTTTTTTACAAAATTCTCCCTTTAGTTGCTTTGAAGGCGTAACTGTTGAGAATGAGTCTCACATTGATAGAAGGGACCTTGCATGGATTTATAAGTAAGTTGGGCTACTCCCCACACTGCCAATTGGTGTTACGATGGAACCTCCACTTTCTTCAGTAACATTAAACTACCTGGGAGGCAGCTAACCACTGAACTATGGACTTCACTTCATGATCTCCACCAAAAGCACAACATCCCTAATTCCCAGTTGCAATCCCAACTTCATCATCCTCATTATCCAGAGATGACATCTCCTCTGAATCTTTGATCCGTTGGTGTACAGATTGTTCTCCAAACATTTCATCAGACCTTATGCTAGTTTCCTGCAACAATAGAAAAGTAAAAGTCAAAAGTCAAATAAGCATATTTTCTTGTACAAGAAAAGCAAGTTCAGATGATGCTAAACCAAATATAAACTTCACATTAAGAGCTAGGCTAAAGTTAGTAATGCACATATCATTTCCAAATGTAGAACATCACCTAAAACCACACACACACACACAAACTAAGATAAAATTGATAGAAAATTCATAACAAAAGATTATCACAACACATGTCATTGGAGTCTGTAACGTCTGGATGAAGCTAAACTCCAAAACATCCATCCTCTCAAAACAATCTCTTGTACTGCCGATACTTCGATTGTTGAAAAAATCCACAGAATGCCTTATTAGTTTCCCTGTTGAAACCAACAAGTAGGAGAGATAAAACTTCGGCAAACAACTAAGCTACTCTCAAGTGTGACAATAGTCCAGCATAATATCACCAAGAAATTGAAGGCAAGGGTTTAAGATTAGAACAAAGTAGAAAACCAAGGGTTAGGGGTGCTACTTTATGCTTGTGAAGAGTAATTTAATAAAAGTAATTTGGAATGCTTGAAGCCTTCCTCGAAGTTGCAGGGAACAGATTAGCATAAAACAATGTAAAATCCTTTGGCTAGGTAGATTATGGGTTTCTATTCTGGAAGCATGACTATTCCATATGATTCAAATAATCTGTCTGTGCTTAACTAAAATATAAATACCGGAGGAAAGCAGAACCAAATTAAAGTCATATGTATGTATGAATAACAAATGTTTTTCTAAACAAAATATGTGACTATTGTCTAACAGAAACAAATAAGCAAACAATATGTTATCAATCCTCACCCTGTATAACTTGAAAACCTTTCTGCACCAATAATTTCTATAGCCTCATTATCTTCCATGGAAGGCATGAACAGCATGCTAGCAATTAATTCAGGATTGATCAAGAAACGGATCTCTTCCTATGTGAGATGATAAAAACAAATAAAATTAGGTGCTTCTGCAACTAGATCATGGCCTGCATGATCCAAGAAAAGGTAAAACATATAAAAAGATAGTCCAAAAGAGCTGGCACGCACACTTACGTGAAACATATAAAGAGTCACAAATCAGACCTGTACACAGCCCGTGCGAAGATCACTACCTCCTATATACTTATTTGCAAAGTCGACTTCAAGAGCTCAACTTGATTGATCTTCTATTAAGCCTGAGCTGTGAACCTAGAATGATATGAAAAGAGTACATAGCAAGGTATTGCAATTGCGAAGCTGTATTAAGAGAATGAAAAGGGGAAATCAATTCAGCTGCATGTAACTCGAGGCTTATTATTTAATACATCTGCTCATCTTTTACCTCAAAGCGGCAGAGAGGAATGACTGAATTGCTCCAGAAACTAGCCTTGGGGTAAGAAATGCTTAAAGGATCAGGTTTCAGAGGAAGAACTTTCCGCTCAAATGAGACAAAACCCTTAGGCATATGGAAATTTATCCTTTCAAAGTAGTGTATAATGCACCTTATCTTATTCTCCTGTTGTTCATTATAACCGTCATATAAAGTCCTGAAAGTACATTCGAGGAGGTAAGTATATTTACTACAACTCTATGTGTAGTAAAAGTAAACTATAAGTCTAGAAGAAACAAGTGCCACATAAGAAATCAAAATGACATACGTAAACAAATGGTCGAAGTTGGTGGTTGGGAGATGTTTGGCACCTCGTTTATTGGTGGGGAACAAACAAAATAAAGAGCACCCAAGAAGAGCACTAGTTAGTTCCTGAAAAGCAACATGGACAATAATCAGAAAAGTAATACCGCGACTAAAGGAAGTTTTAACAAAGCAAAGACAGAATGAAATCTTCAGCATGATCTTCCCCATGGGATGTGAGCCTTTATGGTTCTTCAGATAAAAAGCCTAAATAATATTCATGAAGTGCAAGCAACAATGAAGATATGGTCTTATAGATACCTGGCTGAGGACCACGATTCCTGGTTGTTATGAATCCAGTAGACGAAGGCCAGTTTTGTGTCCATAATAAGGCCATCCACATTTTGATAGTGGTCTTCTAACAGGGAGGGCAACCGCAAGAGCAAATTTGCCAATGCTGGGACAACTTCTCCAAACCATTTCCTTGCTTCCTCCCTGGAAATGAGCTGCACAACCCACGTTTTTCTATTCAGAATAATATTTTTTTCTCAATGGAGCTAGTTATATGATTGATTGTCTTAACTAATTAGAAACACCTTCTAATCTATTTCCATAGTTCAACCCAATATTCAGGACAAAACAAACTCATTTGTCCAAATCCAAACCATTATTATTTTTCTTATCAAACACCTTGAACAGAAAAAAGGAGATTGGAAGTGCTTCGCCGGGAGAACACTTCTTTTTTATTTTCTATTTTCTTTTTTGGGAGTCCACGTCCTATTTCCCAGTTTTTTTTAATTATTATTGAAACAGAATTACGGAGTTTGTTGGACTTATTTATTTCGAGCTATAGCCTGTTGGGCCAAATCTAACGATGTGAGGCTGCTAACGAGTCCAAAACAACAAAAAGAGGAACTCAAAATTTTCAAGCGATTCGGGGTGGGCATTTTTTATGGCAGATACTTATCAAGCAAACGAGCATCTTATCTACTTTTAATCATTAAATTGAACACGCAATACCACACTGCAATTTCCAAGACTTGCATAGCTTCTCTGTTATGTTGGTGATTGGTTCGGTGTTGGTTTTATTTTCAGTTGAACCTCATAATTTATCGGCAAAACCGGAGCATCAAGTTAATGGTAATGGCCCTAATGGGTGCATACCTTGATTTAATGGTATTTCTCTTTTCGTTGTTGGAAAAAGTCACAAGTTCAAATCTTGCATTCCGATACCAACATCCAAGCAACTTAAACCTGCTATAAGCACGCTTCTGTACTGCCTACTTTAGGCCAGCTCATCTGATCTGAAAATAGAGAACCTGTTTGCAGCAACAGCATTAGCAATAGTTAACAACCATCATTTAGTTTATGTGCTTCATTGAACGGCCGGACCCGTCCTCTCGACTTCACAAACCAAGGCAAGAAAAGCCTGTTCAACGTGCACACTACCATATCGACCAACACTATCTCACATAAATGTAAACTTACATAACAATATCTCCTTGAACCAAACTACAAAAATTTCATGCTCCCAAAGTTTTACAAAACGTTAGCAGGAAGGAAAACAATAACCGAAAAAGATAAGGTCTAAACTAATAATCCAAAAATTGTGTCCCTATTTTCCTCAACCCAAACCTAATTATTTTAAGCTAATTACCTTCATACAAAGCCAACTATGATCGCATGTTACCCTCTCGCAGGACATCCACCATATTGTAGATCCGCTTGTCTGCCTTCGAATAAATCTGCATTCATACAAGATTTCATATCATAAAAGTAAGGAGTGCGTAAAAGGTCCTGCGAGTTTATAGCTAAACCACCAAATATACGTTAACAATATTCTAGCCAAATAATTGATGACTAATCTAATCAGCTACTATGACTTGAACAAGAACTTAACCAATCTGGTAAATTCTTAATATATTATGGTTTTTAAGACCAAAGTTTCATTATTTTAGAACAACGAGATGTTGCAAAAAAAAAAAAAGAAGGCAAATGAGTAGATATGACAATTACAATTAGAAGTATGCTAAGGCCCTACACGTTGATTTATAAACCATCATAAGCACTGTAACAAATAGTAAAGCAAAAGAGGAATGGAAAAGCTTCAGCACCTTCTTGGCAAGGAAAATAACAGCATCAATTGTACCCTCTCCATATATTGATCTACCACAAACATTATGCTGAAACTCAAAAGAAACTCTGCAAAAGGGGAAATTAATTCAATGGACCAGAATTAAAACTACTGACAAAAGAAAATTTTCCTGTGAGAGAGAGATTCAGCAAGAGAGGATATTTCTTATTACGTTTGATCAGGTGAAGTCAGATGATACATATGAAATGCATGACCAGACAAATGCTCCTCTGGAACTCCCACCAACTCTAGTTGTTGCTGGCGATCTCGGATCAATTGGATCTGATAAAATTGTCATTAGATTTGAAAAAAGAGACCAAGGATGAAAGAAAAGTTCTCTTTACGTTTATTTGGTACTTCATGTATGGGGACTGGCCACACTTTCTTAACCTCAAAGAAAATGCTATGTAACACAAGAAAAGAATAATCTACTTTCCTCGCAACTAGGCAAATTTGAAACATAAACTAATATGGAGTTTAACTTTTTCAATATAGAATTTACCAGATCAGGTAAAATGAAAAAGAGATGCTACAGTTTACCATTTCTAATTATCCAAAGCTATAATTAACATGTATCATTTAACATACCTGTTCCATATCAAAGGACACCCCCAACTTCTGGAAGCAAGATATAACAGCCTTGGCAGTTCCAGATGTGTCAACTTTACTTGCTTGATGGGATTCCATCACCTGAAATTTAAAATAAATGAATAAGGCACATCAGCTAATATGAATAGAAAACAAGAACTTCCAGAAAAATATAGCACAACCATCCAAATGAATGCCAAAATTATACTGAAACATGACCTTTTTATCAAATAATTAGACCGTCTCTTATATTATATTTAGCATCCGTAACAAATTATAAGGGAAAAGTGAAGTGCCTGTAGCAAATACCCAGAGAAGGCTCCAGGAAATTGCTCGGCCATGATATCCATGGCTGCAAGAAATGCCACAACCTATTCACACGAAACGACAATTAGGATACGGTAGGCAAGCCCCCATAATATTAGAATCAACTAAGGTACCAAATTCAATCACCTGTTTCCCCATTTGTGGGGAAATCACTACATAGACTTTTGAGTCTTCGACAGTCTTATACAACTGATCCCTGTCCCCGCCTGTTGTTCCCATCACAAAGGGCACTCCAACTTTGCAATATAGCTCTGCGTTATCTGGATATGACAGGCAAAAAAAACCCCAAGAGAATCAAGACGCAGAATCACCTACACTATTTGCAGCAACAATGGAAAGGAAAAGTTTTTGAAGTAGAAGAAGGTCAAAATAGAGTTCCAAACCAACGGTAGTACTCACTATTGACTGCAGAAGGGACAGTGAAGTCGACGACAATCAAATTGGGATATTTCTGGAAAAGGGATGCAAGGGTGCTTTCTCTTTCATGAGGACCATGCACTAGAATCTCGTTCGTACCGACTTGGACGGTTCGGCCAGATTCCTCAGCGGAGCCAAAAGAAACTGGAACCACAGTGAGTCCTGCAGAATTTGCTGCTTGGATGATAGCCTTCCCCATCTTACCACTACATCCATTTACCTTTTGGACAAAAAGAAGACAAATTATCACAGCTGCTGGGAGTTTGACGGCATTTGATTGAAATTTCTCGAAAGACTATTGATTTAGAGTAGCAGAGTTGTGGTATTGAGTAAAGCATTACCATGACAGGAACGTCAATCTTGTTCTTGGAGAGCGACTGCTCAAGCTCAACGCTTTGGTCGGGTATGCTGAATCTGACATCACCTTTGCTGCTGCTGCTGACGACGATGATAATGAAAGTGTTTGCCTCCGAGCAGTGCTGATGGTAGCAGCATCCAATCTGGTGGTTGCAGCTCCAGCCAAGAATGCCCGCTTCTGTTGCTGAGGAGGAAGAATCGTACAATTGGCGGCTGGAAGTTTGAGTATGGTTGCCATTGTAGGGGAGGGTTCTTTGGGAGTTAGGGTTTTAGGACAGACTACAGAGGACGTCGTCGTCACTCGTCAGGGGATTGGGTTTTACTTATGTAGCAGATTCTCTCCCTCCTTTTTATCATCCCCTTGCATCCTTAGCTATTTTAATAGTTACGGTGAAATCACATTAATATTTTATATTAATTTTGTATAAAAAGATAAAGATAAAATAAAAAATATGAGAAAAGATGATGAAAGAAGGTGAAAAGAGAAGTGGAAAGGATCCTAATCCTTAAAAGCGATAAAGCCAGAAAAAAGATTGCACAAAAAAAAAAAAAAAAAAAAGTAACATAAACACACTATGAAATACTTGTAAAACGCATAATAAATATATGGCATGTGTATCTTCAATTCATATAATTTAAGAGGGACGACGGGCAGGGGAAGACGCATAATTTGAAAGAGCCAACAATGCCTGCCTGCCTTGGATGCCACTCCATTCCAAAATGCCCAACAGTAAAGTGACGAAACTACCCTTATTAAAAGAGATCTGTTTTTGGCCAGGACCATGTCATTGAAAAGGGCGTTACTAGTTAGGGTAAGAACGTCATTTGCAGTAGCGTCTTGTCTTAGAATTGGACAAGCTGCTGTTGTTAAACGGCAGAGGTTTTGTTTGTGCAGCTGTTAAGTAGGAAATGAATAACTTTGAAGTCTGAGGAAACAACGAGAACAACAATTCAAAAGATTAAAGAGAAAAAGAAGAAGCGTAGAATCAAAGTTATGTATATAAACATAACAACAACACACCACAACACGATGAACAATGCACATCTTTCGTGTGATACACACACACACACATATATATATATATATTGTTCATTAGAATTAAAAATGATTGATTCAAATCAGGACTCTGATTCACATTTATGCAATGCTGCTCAGAAACTAAATCCTTGCCTCTAACCCTGATCTAGCCATGCAAGCAAGATTTGCGACGGAAGAAAGCCAAATATTCCCCTTCTTATTCTTTCTATTTAGTCTTAAACTAGTTGGATTTGGGAGACGGAGACAAGCAAAATATTCCTTCAGTATAGATTTGCAATTGTACATACATTCATTACTCTTGTCTTGCTGTATCTGTATATCGTGATGGTTATCTTGCAGCGTTGTTTTCCCTCCTTTGTTAGCATCCGAGCAAAGTTCCCCGTTACTGCATCAGATGCTAGTATTCACGAAAACCGTTCCCTCAAGGTTCCTTCTACTACTCTTCCTCCGAGCTTCTTGATATCCAATTCACACCGGTCTCAGACTCCAACTTTGTTGTTTCCTCCAGCCAATCAGGTTTAATTAAATTCCTACTTAAATCATGCCAATGAAGCATAAAGTCTGAGTCAATTTAATTACCTTTAAAGGAAATGCTAGTTTGCGTAGAGGATAAAATCTTTAATCAATTATTGTTTGACAATATGGTTAGATGGTTCATGAGCATCAGTTAGATTACATATGTCTACATTTATTCATGTCAGAGTGTGGCAGCTGTTGTGTTCGGGGATGGACACGAGTCACAACTTTACCCGCTGACAAAGAGAAGATCAGAAGGGGCGATACCTATTGCAGCAAATTACAGGCTCATTGATTCAGTTGTGAGCAACTGCATTAGCTGCAACATAAGCCATATATACGCTCTAACACAATTTAACTCTACTTCTCTCAATTCCCACCTTTCCAGAGCTTACTCTGGAGTTTGTTTTGGGAATGCCGGCTTTGTTCAAGTCATTGCCGCGTGTCAGAGCCCTGGCAATAACGGATGGTTTCAGGTCTGAAATCTCTCATGTTTTGAATATATTCCTGACTTTTATTACTTCAGTAGTTACACTTCAGAGTCTTGAAATTCTAATAACTTGATATTAGGGAACTGCTGATGCTGTGAGAAGATGTCTGTGGGTGCTGGAAGAGTATCCAATGACTGAGTTTTTGGTCCTTCCTGGTCACCATCTCTACAGAATGGACTACCAGAAACTCATCAAGGCCCACCGAGACAATGACGCTGACATTACAATTGCTGTATCTGTTGCCAGGAGACTTCCTGATCCGGGGTTTGGCTTTCTAAATGTGAATTCTCAAAATCAAGTTGTAGATTTCAGTTTAAAGTTGGAGGGAAAGCCATTTAATGTTGCTTCAGTAAGTACTATTCAACAGATTCTTTTTAGTTTTTTGTCTTCCAGAAATGTCTCTTCATATGTTATGATTTCCGGTGTTTTCTGAGTCAGAATGAATCTGAAATTTCAGGCCAAAAGCTCAAGTAAATCCAACGATACTGCTCAAAGTAGCATGGCAAGTATGGGAATCTTTCTCATCAACAGAGGTGCAATGAAAAGGCTACTGGAAGAACATTTTCCCAAGGCAAATGACTTCACAAGTGAAGTAATTCCGGGTGCCATATCTATTGGAATGAAGGTCATACCTACATGCGTAGTGTAATATGTATTTACTTTTCTCTTGTGATATTTTACTTTCAGAGTGCTTGTTCAAGCACAGTCCTGTGCTTTTTGTGTGAGAGTTTAGGTTCAAGCATATGCATTTGATGGATATTGGGAGGACCTGAGGAATATTAAAGCTTTCTACGAAGCAAATATGCAAAGCGCAAGGGATGCAGATGTGGGATACAAGTCAGTAACTCGAGCTCATACATATAAAATATAACACACACACACGCGTAATGTGCAGGAAAGGCTGAAAGCTGCACTATTACTATTTTGGAGCACCCAGTCCTCAATGTCATTGGCTAACACACAAACTCGGTGGTTACATATATATATATATATATATATATATATATATATATAGCACAGCTTCTACGACAGAGAGAGTCCAGTCTACACATTGCCTCGGTATCTGCCTCCAACTCAAATAACAGACTCTGTAATTACAAACAGTGTAATTGGAGATGGTTGCATCCTCAATGTAAGCAGAGCATTGTTCGTGTAGGATTTTGAATTGTTTCTTCAAATTTGGTCGATTGGATGTCTCCAAAGAAGTAGTACATACTCTACTGATGTAAAACTGAATGCATGGGAGTTTTGGACTTGTACAAGAGTAGGGATGCAGGATCAAAGGCACAGTACTTGGTATGAGGACGAGAATCGGAAATGGGGCTATAGTCGAGGATTCAGTTGTCATGGGTTCAACTATGTGCCAAGTAAGGACTAGGGAAGGATCCATCTCTTTGACCTTTGTCGTTATCTTTCTTTTTTCTCTGTATATTATTATATATTGACGGAGAGAGTGAGAGTCACAGATAGAAGATAGAGGGAAGAGGAAAGGCATGGCGGGTGTGATCCCTGGGATGGGAATTGGCGAAGATACTCATGTAAGGAAGGCTATTATAGACAAGAATGCAAGAATTGGCAACAATGTTATGGTATGTATGAATGTATACTAGTATTTTCCGTTATCTTCAAATTTTGATCACGGCATGAGGTTCTATTGGTGAGTCAGGGATTTGATGATATTATTGTGGACTCACTGAACTGGTGTGTGTGTTTGGTGCAGATCATTAATAAAGATAATGCGAAAGAAGCGGACAGAGAAGGTGATGGATATGTCATCCGTGACGGAATACTAGTCCTTCTTCCGAGTGCAGTGATTCCAGATGGCACCATTCTCTGATCTGATCATTCATTCATTCATTTCATTTCATTTAATTGTCTTAGTGTTACAACTCCAGTCAGTCTCCAGTAGTGACAGAGAGTAGCTAGTCAGATGAAATAAAAGATAAATAAATAAAGGAAGTTGGAATATATTTGCTGAGCCAGTGAGCCTTCCCTTCCTTCACTCCACTTCTTTATTAGTGTGATGCAAATTGTACATAAACTATATATATATATATATAGATTATAATTCGGATGGATATTCTCATTCTTTCCTTGCGTTGTCGAGGATGACCTGGGCCCTGGCGATTTACTTATTTTTCGTTCAAACGTGTTCCTAGTTGGCGAGATAAAAGTGCTTTTTCGCACTCGCTTGAAGTTGTGTATAGAATCAGTGGGGAAGCTACCCCCTCTCAGTTTATTTACGTACCTTTTTTGGCCAAATTAATTACCAAACATAGTAAAAGAAAAAGATTTTACAAGCAGATATTAGGTGTGAGATAGTCCACTGCTGTGCTGCTTCAATAATGCATCACTGATAAATGTGATCAGTGGGCCAAAAAGACATAGTTCACTGCTGTGCTGCTTCAACTTATATTGGATTGAATTTTCTTTAATTCTTTGCGTCTCCTGCTGTTTGTGTCGTTGAGGTGAGGAGGAGTTTTCACTAACAGTAACAGGTAAGTGCTTCGATGATTGACCTTTAGATCTCATCTCATCTCATCACATCACATCTCATCCAAAGACTAGAATTTTAGAACCATTATTTAGATCTCTCATCTGACATGTTCTTCTTCTTTTTCTTCTTTTTCTTAGAAGAGAGAATTGAGTTGATGTAACTGCTTGTTTCTATCAACTTTTCAAGTTGTCGAAAACAACCATATAAGGGAATCAGTTGTAAATTTATAAATACTATAGCGGAATCCATGGCATCGTATTCGTCTGATGGTAAGCCGGAAAATGTGGATCGGGGTGCTAAGGTGAAGAAAGATCACAAGGAGGAGGAGGGATAGGATGAGGGTGGATTTGTTGACAAGGTGAAGGATTTCATTCATGACATTGGGGAGAAGATAGAGGGTACTATTGGATTCGGCAAGCCAACCGCCGATGTTACTGCCATTCACATCCCTAGCATCAATCTCGAAAAGGCCGAGATCGTGGTGGATGTGCTCATCAAGAACCCTAATCCGGTTCCCATCCCTCTCATCGACATTAACTACTTGATCGAAAGTGATGGAAGGAAACTTGTCTCCGGGCTGATCCCTGATGCTGGGACAATCCATGCCCACGGGGAGGAGACTGTCAAAGTTCCAGTCCACTTGGTATACGATGACATCAAGCTTGGAAGCATCATTCCATACAGGGTCAAGGTCGACCTCATTGTGGATGTCCCTGTCATCGGCAGATTCACTATCCCCCTTGAAAAAACTGGAGAAATCCCCATCCCTTACAAGCCTGATGTCGATGTTGAGAAGATAAGGTTTCAAACCTTCTCCTTTGAAGAAACCGTTGCTGTCCTCCATTTGAAGCTGGAGAACATGCATGAATGACTTTGACTTAGGCCTCAATGCTCTCGACTACGAGATTTGGTTCTGTGTTGTCCGCATTGGAGGTGCAGAGCTCTCCAAGTCTGCCAATCTTGCTAAAAGGGGCATCACTTATGTTGACGTTCCCATTACCTTCAGGCCTAAGGATTTTGGGTTAGCGCTCTGGGATATGATTCGGGGAATGGGTACCGGCTACACCATCAAAGGGAATATCAATGTGGACACGCCCTTTGGAGCCATGAAGTTGCCGATCGTCAAGGAGGGTGGTACTACACGCCTCAAGAAGAACAAGGAAGATGGTGGTGACGACGACGATGATGAGGTAATGTGTATGTATGTAAACTATGTGTGCATTCTGCATGATTCTTCTAGATTAAATAGTGGATCGTTTATAGTTATTATGATATATATCTTATGGATCCATTATGTAACCCAAAACCCTGAAACAAGGATCAACTATTAGACTCTGTGTTAAATAGTTAATACTAGCATGGCCCATGCGTAAACATTCAATATGATATGGTGCAACTATCAGTGGGCTCTTTGTATGGTGTGTGGGGTATGCTAACTATGAGTCATAATGTTTGCAACTTTCCCATTGAGGAAGCATCATATGCCCTGCAGTTGCAAATAGAACTCATGCGAAATAAGTGTCATGATGCTTTCTTTGTTTTCCGGTGAACCGAGTTGACATACTTTTAACTTGATGCACTGCCTTCTTGTGGTTGTAACTAATTTGAAATGTTGTGTTTGCAGGAGTGGAGAGGGATGTTGGGTTGGCAAGTGAAACTAGTAGTTGACGTGGTCTGTTTATCTGTACTGGTGCTTGAGAATAATAGACAAACAGGCACTTGAAGTTGAGGCATTATATTTATTTATAGGTTAGCTTCAGAGCTTGTGGTGGTAGAGTATTAAGCTGTTTTGAGTTGAGGAGAAATTTGTTGCCGTATAATTGCTGTGGTTGGAACTTGGATGGATCATGGAAGCGAAAGTTGTTATTGTAATAGCTAATAAAAATGCAGTTTGCGGTTTGGGGTAAATAAGTGAATCGATTGAGCAGATTTTTGTCTGAGCATTCAGTGATTGTTTGATAATATGATTATTAAGGTTGCTGTGGAAAGTGGAATCGACCTATTGTTATTGTGTACATGGACTGAATAGCTGGTTAATGGGCTCAGATCATGTTGTGGATGGATGGATTGTTGGTTCACAAGGTTGCATCATTATCATTATCATCATCATCATCATCATCATCATCATCTGGATTCTGGATTCTGGTATACAAACAAGTTTGTAGCAAATCAACGTTGAGATTTGAGATGGTATGATGATAGAGTCAAAGTCAAACATAGGAAGAGAAACAAACAAAACTTGAATATTTGTATTTGTTTGTTGAATCAAAACCAAAGGTTGGCGGAAGTGAAACTTGGAAGGAATTATTAAATATGGTAACAATAATAATTCGTTAAACTATTAAATAGTACATTTACTTTGTATTTATAATAGCGTATCACGTGTTATAATATAAATAAGAAATAATTTAACATTTCATGTATTGGTTTGTATTCTTGAAAGTTGATGCATTGAAAAAATCTCTTATATATGTAACTTTAATTGGAGCATTTTGCCTACCAATGCCAATATGCAATATTGTGGGTTGTGGACTGTTTTTATTCTAATGGTCGTGGTCGTGTGGTTTCCTTGATTTGCCTAAAGGGCTGCGCCTGCTGGTGCGGTGGAGAATGAATCTGGGTGGCGTGGCTGGGGAGGTGGATGGAGCGTGGAAACTGCAAATAATCTGGGATTAGGATTATTTCCCTTCCTTCCATCCCCTTCTATCAATTTCTCTCACGTTCTTTTATTTTATTTTTCTCTTATTATAAAAAATTAATATAAAATATTAATATGATTTAACCGTGATCTTTCAAATAGAATGAGGAAAAAAAAAAAAAAAATCTCCCTCCAATAGTCTAATCTTCTCAACATTCATACATTTTAAAAAGGAGAGAGACAAGACTGAGAGGAGGGCATGGCAGTAAGGACAAACAAAAGGGGTTGTATTGTATTTTACGTGTACGAGGAAGGAAATATCTATCTCTCTCTCAAGAAATTGTGGTCTCTCAAGTGGGTGAGTCTCCTCTCAGGTATTGATTGTGATGGGATGGGTTGGGATGGGATGGGATTATGGGAAATGGGAAGACACAGAATCAATCAGTGAGTGAGAGACTTGCATTGCATTTGCAAATTGCATTAATTAATTAATTAATTGTATGGTGGCGGATGAAAGATGCATTGAATTGGGTAATGAAGGTCCACATCCCACATGCATGCGCATATGCCATCATCATGATTCATCCATAATATATGCTGCTGCCATGGCTGCATATCAAATCTATCTCCCACTACCACTACGCACACTTCCCTTTTAAGCATGGAGGACCTCATCTAAGTGTTTAGGATTGGATTAGATTATAACACATAGATTGGAAAGAAATAAGAATGAATTGTAATACATTTTCTTCCTTGTGACTAATTCACTTTTCTTGGACTTCAACTTTGTTAAAATTTCAAGTTTTAATATCTATTTTCTAATTAAATATATGTTGAATTTCACAAGTTAACTTGGCATTTTATAAATGTTAGCTTGACGTCATTGGATATATGTGATATGAATCATGTGATGCGGCTTGATGGTGACACATCTCAATCCTAATGTCCAGTTGACACTAAATTCGAGGCATGCTAGGCATCACTCGGATGGGTGATGAAGCCATAATCGGCAGAACTTCCTCGAAAATAGGGATAAGTTTAAATCAAAATACCTACAAATAATTACATTTGTTTTAATCACATCCTTGAAGGGCCACACTTAATGGGTCTTCGACTCTCTATCACATGCATGAGAATGGGTGTAAGATCCCACATCGCCCAGGGGAGTGATCCTTATATGTATATTCTCATCTCTACCTAGCACGAGACCTTTTGGGAGCTCACTGGCTTCAGGTTCTATGAGAACTTCGAAGTTAAGCAAGTAGTGCGCGAGAGCACTCCCATGATGGGTGACCCACTGGAAGGTCTCGTGTGAGTTCCCAGAAACAAAACCGTGAGGGCGTGGTCGGAGCCCAAAGCGGATAATATCGTGCTACGGTGGTGGAGCGAGCCCGGGATGTGGTGGACCCTGAGCTGGGATGTGACAATGGGTTCACAGCATAATTACCAAACATGTCCTATTAATATATTGAGTAAATACCATACTCGGTAAAATATGTTAAAGTTGATGAAAAACACCTCAACGTCAAATATGATCACTAATACGCCTACTAAATCATGTATACGCTGAGAGATGATAGGTACATATATACTGAGCCGACACTTACGGGTGGCAAGACATACAATATCATCCATTAGCTGTAGCTATTGGAAGCTAGATAATATAATCATGTCATTGCTGAGCAATCTCTAAGCAATGACAAGCTGAGAATACATATGTAATCATGTCATTACTAAGTATCTCGAGGTAATGACAAGCTAAGAATATAACTGTAACCATGTTATTACTGAGTAATCTTGAGGTAATGACAAGCTGAAAATATAACTTTGGTACCTCAATACACATGTAAGCTAATACACACACACACACACACACACACACACTAGCCGTAGCTAGTGGAAACTGAAAATATAATCATGTCATTGCCGAGTAATATCGAGACAATGACAAGCTGAAATGACATGTCCACGAATGTGGACAAGTTGGAAATACTCATACACGTCCAAGATGTATCCTACGATTGTGAACGTGGTACAAGCTGAGAATATAATTGTGTAATCATGTCATTACTGAAGAATGTCAATGTAATGACAAGCTAAGAGTATAAATGTAGTACCCCAACACATGTGTAAGCTGATATGTAATATCATCCATTAGCCGTAACTAGTGGAACTTGGAAATATAATCATGTCATTGCTAAGTGATCTTGAGGCAATGACAAGCTGGAAGGACATGTCCACAATGTGGACAAGTTGAAAATACTCATACACGTGCAAGTTGTGTCCTACTACCATGGACATGGTATAATACTTTAAATTTGTATGGGTGTATGTGTGCCACAAAATAAGTAATAATAAAGGAATAACAATCATGAAATCGTCCTTGTCATACAACATAAATCATGTATCATAAACCATAAATCATAATTTCTAGTAGTAAAATCTTGAAATCTGTCTAGTTCGTAAATCATAAATCTAAAGGTATATCATGAAGTCGGTATAATTCTTAAAATATAACTGAAATCCATTATATAGCCATGCTTAGAATTTAGATAAATAAAACTTTCTGAATTAAAAACCCATTCACCTACAACTAGCTCCCCCTTGAGGAGCCTTGTCTTTATCAATCTGATAAAGTATGCACCTTGACCAAATCACAATAATATCACTTCGGGAAGACATGATACACTATTTAATTTTATTTAATCTTATGACTGCATTTTAACTTCTAAGTTAGATTGCCTACGTACCATGTGAAGGGATCAAGCCAATTGTAATTTATCATTCATACGAGAATTTCAACATATACTACTTAAACATTTAAACATCGTACTTAGTAGAAATGAATATCTCTCTTAACCACAAATATAGAGTGATGATGGGTAAATTCTAACTGCTAGGGTCTATCAGGCCTTTAGTGATGCTAACATCAACATTCGAGAAGATTCGAAACATGTTGGTCCTAAGTCAACCCTCAGTCAAAATGGTTTCTGATAAAGTCAACCACCCTTATTATTCTCATTGTGGAAGATTTGCACATCAGATTTCCATTGTAAATGTTTATGAGACCAACACATTACTTCTACAATAACATATTACACTTTCATAACTATCCAACAATCGGATCTCTACTTACTACAAATTCAAGTAGTGGTCAATCATGAAATTGTGTTCAAATTATCAAATTTGGAGAAATGGAGTACGGATCTGGAATCAACACGTTGAAATACCTCAAGAGGGGTCTTAGGCCGAAAACCTAAAAAAAAAGTAAACTGATTAACACCGGTAGAATATTCCGTCCCTGGACAAAATATTCTCTTAAAACTAACGAAATATTTCAAGGAATATTTTGAATTGGATTCGAAAAAGGATCGGGTCGGATCCGGTTTGCCGAATACGAATTGGGTTCTCAGGTTTGGTCGGCCCCGTTCGAGGTGGTGGATCTGTTGGTTATTACAGAAACCCGCCGAAAAATATCGAGCTTCGATGAGCTCCAAAGCACCACCATTGTTCACGAATCTTATATCAAAATGAAGTTAAAAGAACGAAGACTCGAATTTTGCCTTCCATACGTTGAATTTGTGGTCGGAGAGGTCGGAAAACAGCCAAGGGAGCTCGGAAACTCATCGATGCTCATTTCCTTGCTGGAATTGAAGAATTCTTTCTCATATCTTGCTACACGGTGAGTTGGATGGTGTGTGGGGAGTTGTGATCAGTTAGTGATGCTAATTAGTGGTTGAAATCGTCAAGAAATTGACAATGAAGCTTTTGCAAACATAGTAAGGTAGGATGTTTAGTTCCAAGTTCCTTTATCAATAATTTATGGAATAAATGGGTTATTTGTAAGATGAATTAATACTTTGAAGTTAAATTAGGGTTTGTGTTTCATGTTAAGGCGTATGGGTTGTGGAATAAGTTTCAGGTTTTGACGTGCTATGAAACTGGGATAGAACAATTTATGGTTCCAGTGTCAAATTGCAGAAATTTGTGAATTTTTTTCTGTAATGTGCATATGGTGTGCATGGCTACATCTTAATATAAGAAGCGGGAATGTTCACTAGTTATGATGCACGTATGTTGTGCCCTAAAATTTAGCAAGTATAACCACAACCTAGCTGGCCTCGGCGAAAAACTAAATTAAGAAAAAGCTTAGAGGATGTTAAGGATCATGCATGTCCATGAAATAACGACAACAAATATCATGTTTTCTACATGCATGGTTAACCGGTGATTGATATACGTAATAAGACTTTACAAACTGCCACTGTAACCTTATGTACGTAACAATTATGTTTTAATTGTATTCACTATACCAATAGGTTGTTGTTAAATTTTCTTATTAATGCGAAAAACAGCTCATTACTTGATCTCCAGTTA